AAGTTGTCCACTCAGAATGAACCTTCAAAACAAAATATCAAAATACTTGAAGAGAGTAAATGCTAGTGAAGATAGCTAACACAATCAACAGTGAAAACAAAAATTCATTACAGATGAGATTTTTGCAGAAAAGTCAAAGACTGAAATAAGCATGTGCAGGAAATTCAAAGGATAAGTGAAGGCATCACAGTGATCAAAATGAAATTTAATAATGCCCCCAAATATGCAGAAATAGAACAGGAGCATCTAGCTATCCGTGAACAAAGAGCCATTTACAAAATTTGGGAATAAAACATCTAGTCATAGGAAAAAATAACCTCAATCGATGGGATGAATTTTAGACCTGATACAGTTAAAAAGAGAGTTGGTGAAATGGAAGAGAGTACTGAGGAATTCACTCTGGATGTAGCATAAAGAGACAACAGATTTTCGAAAAGGAGCGAGAGAACATTAAAGAGACTTGGAGGATAGTTGGAGAGGTTCCAACGTATGTCTAACGACATTTCAGCAAAGGGAATGAAGGTCATCATCGAGAAGCAAAGTTTGTAGAGCTAAGAGCTGAGGATTTTTCTTATTCAAAGACTTGCGTCCTCGGGTTCCTTTGTGGCACTTGTGAGCAGCTTGCTGTATTTGACACGAGTGTAAAAGCAAAGAAGCGCATGAGCAGAGCAGTGTTCTGCAGGGCCCAGCTCTGTGGGTCCATTTGTACATCAGGCTGGAGAGCCCCAGTTGACTAGATCTGAGCAGCAACCACAGGCGCCAGCTGCCTCCGCTGCAGAGTGCGTTGTAATGTGTGTGTTTACGAGCTGGTCGGCGTTTGACAAAAAAATTGTCAGAGCTGTTTCTTTCCCTCTTCACTCTTTAGTGTGCCCCTCAGATACATCATTGTACATCACAAAAGTGTGCAATTTCTTAAAGCCAAAGAATCCTCTTCATTTTATAACTGAATTCCACATCAAGAATTAATGGGTAATATGTTTGAGTTGATAATAAGTAATATGTTGAATAGGCAATATGTTTACTTAGTTCAAAATCAAAACAATAGGAAACGGAGTATTTTAAATAGTCCTGTTCCACCCCTGTCGCCTTCTAGTCATTTGCCACCTCTGCCCCTGACAGATGACCACATGAATAGTTTGTCACCTTCCTTTATGTTTCTCTATGCAGATACAAGCAGATGTTCTGTCCCTGGGCTTTTACATCCCGATAAGTCCTAGAGAGCTTTTTATTTCACTGACAGGAGCTTCCTCGTTCTTGTTTACTATTGCTTTGTGTACATTTGATCGTGTGGACGTACCATGGTTTATTACCCCTCCTCTGTGGATGAACGCTTGAATTGCTTCTCATCTTTTTGTTTAGTTAACATACAATTTACATCCCATAAAATCCACCCTTTGAAAGTGTACAGTTAAGCGGTTTTTAGTATGTCTCCAAGCTTTTGTGCTATAAATGTGATCCAGTGAGTTAGCTTGTGCATGCATTCTCCTGAGCATGGTACAGTATACCTGTAGAAAAAATCCTTGGAAGTAGGAGTTCTGGATCAAAGGGGAAATGCATTTGAATTTTGATAGGAATTGTCCATTGCCGTCCATCGGTATTATACTATTTTGTACTCCTGAGTACGAGAGGGCTTGCTGCTCCATAGCTGTGCCCAGAGGGACTTCGCCTTTTTATAAGGCAATCTTAATTTTTAAGAAATGTGTGATGTTCATAAACTACTAATTCAATCTAATGTTGATTCCTGATTGCTTTTACCAAAGTAAATATAACCAAAAGTCCTTTTTAAATGGATAAATATGGTTACTTACAGTTGATCTCGTTATTTAATTGGTAAAATTTCAGGTTGTGAAAGCTGATGTGCAGAGCAGATGTCACCTGTTCTCAAGCTGAGCGATTTCCTGACCCTTCATTCTCTCCTTTCCTATAGATATAATGATGCTTATGGTATTAAAAGTTAAAATTCCCTATGGAGGAAGACCATTAAATTCTGCTCGCTCTTTAGTAGGAACATTCTTGTAGAATTTCATCCTTTTGGTAGAGCCAAATTCCAATGTTTTATACCTGTTTGATACACTGGACCTCCACTGAGCTGAGAAGTGATTGGTTTTATGATACTTTAGCTAAAGTATTAATTATAAACAGAATTTCAGCCTCGCTGGTGCTTGTCGATTTGTAGGACAGGTCCGTTGCTTTTTAATCCAGTCAGAGTGGAATATGTAATTCCTTATGGGAATCTACCTTTGTGAATCTCCTTCTTATACACAGGTTAGCGTTATGGACCTCTGACGAGATTATAAGGGTTTGTGCTTAAGGAGGAGGCATTTCAGAGTTTGAGATACCGTGTGCATTTGAGTTATTCAAGGCTTTAGCAACGGGTTAAATTCTGGTGGAGGGGCTTTCAAATATTCTGTCTGTAAAAATGACTGGTAAGGATTCATAGGACAATACAGGCTTTCTTGAGCTTGAAGTAAAAATGGAAGTATAGATTTTGATTAAATTTGTGATGGAGTGCATGAATGTGCAGGTATATGCATGGAAGTATCATTAGTTCGTTCTATGTCCTAAATAATGGCTGATGCTGAAAATAGGTAAACCACTTCATCAGTGATTTATCAAAACTAATGGTTTGTGTTAGTATTTATAGGTACTTCGTAGAGGAAAATTGATTATAGTTTACCTGGTAAGCCAGTCTTATTATAGATGAGAAAATACGTATAGTCAAAGCAGAAAGCTTTCATTCAAGAAACGGACTAGAATATTGTAAGTAGAATTTCCTGTCTTGCCTCTTAGTTTAGCTGGTTGCTGGGGCTCTATTCCTATTTTCTTTATTCACTGTGGATGATTATACAAAAGATCCAGAAAGAATTTGAGTTCTGCCCAAAGGTTGCTCTGGGCTACTCTGGGATGGTTTAGTGGGAGAAGTCTGCTTTCCCGGGTGGGGGAGGACGTGCTCAGGGCCACCGTGTTTGGTTGAGCAGGTGGTTCACGCATGATGACAATGCTCCTTGGAGTAGGTGGGGGCTGAAATCCAGTTGTGTTCACCGAGCCAGGCCCCTCAGAGCAGGACTGCCTCAGCCCAGAACAAGGCACACCATTTCCTAATCCTCTCCAAGGTCTGCTAGTGGCTGCCAGCAGCCTGAGTACACATTTTATTGCAGGTTTATTGGAAAATCAATTGTTTCTGCCTTTTCCATTTTTCTTTCAGAAAATTTTTATGCTGTGTAATTTCAATGTGTATGTGTGTCTGTGTACACACACATATGCCATTTATATGCCATGTACACACACACACACACATAGTATATATGTATTTGAATGTAAGGTCAGATACCTTTGAAAAATAATCCTTCGGAAGGAAGGCACCACCTGATGTGTATTTGATTCCTTACAACGTACTTTGTAACGTGGGGACCTCGCGTACACTGTTTGAGCAGCATGGCAATACAGGTTTGCCCCACTATCTGAAAGTAGAGCTTTTCTATGAAAACTCAAGCTGAAATAGCGTAAAGGGAATAGACAGTTACCATTAACTTATGTGGAACAATTTTCGAGTCTTCTTAGACCCCCCAAAATAACCTACCAAGTCATACCAAATAACACATAAAACCGAAAATAAGTTTGACATATAGTAAAAGCAGGAATTATGTGTAAAGTAGAAATAATGTAAGTATAGTATAGTTTCACTTATTAAAAAGACTGATGTCTCCTTAAATGTAAGATAATGGAACATTACGCTTTGTACACCCATCAATCTACTCAAGCAACAGGCTTTCCATTTTATCCATTTCTGGGTACCGACTGGAAGAGACCACTTTGCTACTAACCAAACCAATAGAAACTGGCAGCCTTCAAGATTCTTTCTTGCTGTGTGTCAGTAGCACATGTGGTGGATGCAGGCAGATGCATCACACACACAATGTCATTATTTCCTTCATGATCAAAACGCTAACTCCATTCAGTTCTTTGCTAAGCATAACACTTACGAGCTGTTTTAGGCTTTTCTGATACCTTAGGCTCATCTCGCTAATCGATGCACAAGGTGAATTGAGACAAAGCACAGATGCTCACAGACAGCTCAAGACCAGGGCGGCTGGGTGCTGAGATGCCGAGTGTGGTTTCTGAGGAAGGAGCTGGGCGGGGCCCCTCCCGCTGCTGGGGTGCCACTGCCTCTATAACAGCTCACTGCGAAACAAACTCTGAACAGTATTTTTACTTTTTGCCTTTTTTCTTAAAGGCGAAAACCCTCTTCGGATTTCTTATGGTTCATGAAAACAGGTACTAATGTAGGTCATTGTAGAAGCGAAGTGATGTAATGTGAACTCTTAGAAAGCAGGGAATATCTGTATTTGGGAAGACAGTATCTTTAAATGGCTTCAGACAGTGCTAGCTGTGGATGCTTAAAAAGATTTCTTCATATAATTGAAAAAGAAAAGAAACAGATGATTATCACAGATTTAATAAGTATTCTAGCAACGAAAGATCACTTAAGAAAAGTAATAATGTAAATAATGGTCTCAAATAAAGGTTTACAGGATGAATAAATATTCCACACATCTTGATGTTATGCACACGGGTACTTATAGCTTGGTTTGGTATTTCCAGTGATGGTATCACGGAAGTATTCAAAACCTGCTCCATCTCCAGCGGATCCTACAGACAGGAAGCTTTGCTCCGGAAAACTGTATTGGATGACTCAGAAGGCGGTTCTAGTGATGAAAAAGACCCCGATGTTAAAGATTCGTTCAAGAGTGAATCAAATTGTTTCAGGAAACATGAGAGGGAATAAAATCGTTATTTCTACAATGTGTAGTTGAATGCATCTAATTAAATTAATACATTTTATGATTGACCATTTGACTAATTTCTATCTCTGCAAGTTTATACATTCAGGTCGGCTACATTTTTGTTTTGCTATTCTCTTATTGGAAAAATAAGAGATTATCTTATATTTTGGGTCACTTTATAATCAGTCACCTATAATTATTATCATTTTAAAACAGAAACTGAGGCTTCTTGAAGAGCTTGAAGACACTTGGCTTCCTTATCTGACCCCCAAAGATGATGAATTCTACCAGCAGGTAAGGTCTTTGAATACTTTGATCAATTTGTAGTGATTCGTTTTGATCTACCCATGAAGTTTACCCGTGAAGCAGCTGTGGTCTGGAGAGGTTAAATGAGAAGGGAAATGGTCTCATCACCCACAGAACATATCAGTTCCTTCACAGTCTGCTTTCTGCTGTGAACTCAGTGCTTTTCCATAGCGGACTGTCTCCCCATCACCCCCGAACATTCCACGTGCTTCCGTACTTCCTTGCCTCTGCTCATTCTATTTCTTCTGCATAGAATATCCTGTTGCCAGGTGAGTCAATTCTTCAAGATTCACGTAAACATCAGGTCCTGTGTGAGCTACCTCGTCTTACCTCCGAGTGGAGTTGACTGCCCTCTCCTCCGTGCCACTCGCATCTTACAGATACCTCTACTGTACCCGTCACGTTGTGCTGCACTTAACTTACCTCCGAGTGGAGTTGACTGCCCTCTTCTCCGTGCCACTCGCATCTTACCTCTACTGTACCCGTCACGTTGTGCTGCACTTAACGGGATTCTGCGTCCCTCTCCCTGAAGTAGTCAGCACTCTTTCAATTACAAGTGACAAAAACCCAAAGAAACTCCCTGTGGGAAAGGATGAGTTTATTGACTTAACTTAGATGTCTGGGAGCCCTTGGCTGACTCCAGCTTCTCGAAAGATGTCGTCGATCACTGTTTTTCTCTGCTTCCTGGCTTGGCTCTCTTCTGCGTGGCATCAACCTGGATGGGCTCTCACCTGGAAACCCAGGAGGGCTCCGACAGCCCACGGGGTATGTGGTCTCGAAGACCATGTGGGATCTTAGAAGAAGGCAGTGGTTTCTTTTTCTGGTTCCTTGTTCTGTCCCCTTTCCCTGGGAGCGATCTCGTCGGCCGTCCCAGACCCACTCGTTGTGAGTGAGATGCCTAGTTCCCGCCCCTGCTGTCGGAGGAGCATTGGGATGTGACCGTCCCTACTCAGACTCCGGGGCTGTGACACAGAGATGGATGGAGTTCCCGAGGGTGACAGGGGTCCTGCTCCCAGAGAAACAGGGGAAGGCGTGCCGGCCACGCAGCAGTCGTGCATTTTCACCCATTCCGTGCTACCAGAGTGTGAGCTCTCGGGGTAGAGGAGCTGGGCCACATCTTTGTTCCTCCGGCTGATTCCCAGTCCGTGGACGGAAGAAGGGAAAGAAGGTGCTTGCCCCCTAGGATCCTGGCCTCTCCACCTCCATTCGTTAGAGCGTCACTGCCTTTTTACGACTCACTCAAGTTTTCTTTCCTCTTTGCCTCTCTGTCTTAATCCTTAAAGCTGCAGTACATTTTCTAACCAGGACATAAAGCGGAGCACGTCCGCCCCCTGCTCCTGACACCGCAGCGGCTGCTCGTTGCCTGGCTCCCGCACGTCCAGGCCCGTCGCCCCTACGCGGTCCCCTTGTCGCCCACACCGGGTTTTCACAGGACGCGACTAGCCGTGCAGTTTCGTATTCAGGGCCTTCCTGTGACACCCTGTGCTGACCTGCCTCCTCCGTCTTTCCTTGAGGAACTTCCGTGTTGCCTGTTAGTAGCAGCTTCCGTGCCACCTCCTGTAGGGTGCTCTCCTGACACCGCTGTGGCCCGGGCAGCCGCTTCTGCTCCCTCTCACGTGCACCTGCCGTGCTTCCTGCTGCCTTTGTCAGCACCTCCCTGTTTACCGTGACGATTTTATATATATATATGCTCGTCTCCTTCATCCTCTATCCTTTGTACAGTACCTGGCACCTAGTAGGTGTTTGGTTTGCTCGACTGAATGAATAAATGAATGTATGTATTAGTTAACTTAAAAAGCAAGTTATATAAGAATGTTCAGTGTCATCCGAATGTCATTGTCACACACAGACACTCCTTCCATGGAGGGGACATCTGGAAAGGTTTGCAGGATTCACACAGAACTGTTATATCTCAGAGTGGTAGGGCTTTCTCCTTTGAGCTTGTCTCGTTTTCCAAATTATCTCATATGAACATGTATTCTTTTGTAATCAGGAAAATATAATTTTAAGGAGTACCCTTAAAACAGGTAAGCCCGCAACAGGCAATCAGTTCTGAAATCCTCACTAACATTTTCATAGGTATAAGCCTTCTGGTACATTGTTTTAAAGCGGCCGCTGAGCCATGTCAGCTTCTGTATGGGGAAAGTAGTATTTGAAGAATTAAACACGGACAGTTATCAGCCCTCTGTGCTCGGAGCCAGCCACACACTGGGGAATAAAAAAAGACTCAAATGCAAACAGAACAACCATAAGGCACCTCTATTATTTTCCAAGACCCAGAACAAACCTGATAGCAACGTCTAATCGCTCTAAGTGTACCTCATACGAAGCCTTAGTGCTTCAGCAAAACCTTAGGAAAGTAATCCGTTCTGAAGTGAAAATGCTTTTTGGTGACAGGGAGACATAGAAAGTTCAGACCTGACACTGGTCCCTTAAACGGGCCTTCGCCACAGGCATGCCGATCGTAAAAACAAGGCTCGACGCAGCCTCCTTACTGGGCGTGTTTGTTCAGGCTGCCGGGGCCTGTGCTCCGTGTTTAATGAACACTCTCACAATTCGTCCTCACAATGACATCATCCATTCAGCACCTCCTCCTCTTCAGGTGCTTGAGCCGTAGATACCATCATCGCTGTCGCAGAAACCAGGAGAGACTCGATTCCATATCCGAGCGGCAGAGCTGGGGAAAAAAGCCCATACGCATCTGATCCTAAGGGCCGTGCTCTATCTGCTATGCTATATGCCTCCCAGTATACCATGCTCAAATTCAAAACACCTTCAGGGAAGTTCTCTGATTTCCTTCGACGAGACTGTAGAGGAAACAAATAAAACAAGAACAGCAACAGACTCAAAGCAGAGAAGCAGAGAGGACCGCTGTTGGTTCACCGCAGAGCGTAAGGAAATGAGGAAACTAGATCAGCCGGGAAACACGGAAACACGCTCTGGCTTCCAGGACACGGACGTCGCCCTCTTGTCCAGAGAAAATGCCACCCTTCCCCGCGTTCCCCCTCGCTTTCAGTTCTCACGTACTCCCACGTGCCAGCTCCGCGCTTTACATCTTACCACAACCCCCTGAAGCAGATGTTATTAAAACCCCATTTTAGAGATGAGGACACCGAGGCACAGAGAGGCTTCAGGCCTTGTTCCAGATTTATACGCAACAAGCGTCAAGACCAAGATTGGAGTCCAGGCTTCTGGCTCCAGGGTCTGAATGCTGAACTGCTGGGCTCCTTCCCTCTGAGTGCTTCTGGGATTTCCGTGCCTTTATCCCGACGATCCCAAACCTCTGTCTCCATCCCTGCTCTCCCTTGTGACCCATAGTGCTCCAGTTCCAACCGCCTCCTGGGTGGCTCTACCTGAAAGTCTGGCAGGTACAGCTCATGCACGTGATCCGTATTACTCCATTAAGCAAATGTATTTAGCTCCCCCGACTCTGTGCCAGGTTTTAGGCACTCAAGATGAATTTGCAAAAAACAACAACAGATTCCTGTCTTCTTTGAGTTTATTTCTTGAGGGGCAGAGAGAGGAAGGGGGTTGAAATTTAAAAATAGGAGAGAGAGAGGGAGACGTTAAAAAAAAATAGAAAAAAATGTCCGAGGGACAGCGAGTGCGGAGATAAATTAAGCAGGTGACGGGGCAGGAAACCAGTGTTGGCGGGGCCTTGCACATGGGCGGTTGCAGAAGGCTGTCCTGGAGTGACCTTGGCTCAAAGACCTCACGGAGGTGCAGGAGCAGGCCACGCAGATACCTGCGGGAAGAATGTTCTGGGCGTAGGGAACAGCAGAGCCTCCAAGCTACGTTTGAGGGAAGCATCCGAGGGGGACACGTCCGGAGCGAAGCGGGAGAGCTGGGGAGGGTAGGAGACGAGACCGCAGCGCGACACCCTGGTCAGGCAGGGACGTGGCTCTGGGACGAGGACACCGGCTGTGACTTTGAGAGACGTGCGCGGGTTTGGGGCCCACGTGCGACAGGGAGCGACCGACTTTTTCGTGAGGGTCCCTTTCACAGGAACCCCGCTAGCGGCGTTGCCCTGGCCTTCGCCTTCCAGTCCGCCAGTCCAGCTGTCGCCAGCGTCCCCCGTCGCCTACATCCCTCCTGCGGTCTCTGGGCACCGGCAGTGCCACCTCGTCAGAGTCTCCCGAGGGGTTTCTTTCCTCCAGTTCCACGGACACTATCTCAGGTCAGCCCCTCACTGACCGTCTCCCACCGGCAGTTTTAACATTCCCCCGACGGATGTTCCTCGCGTGCTCCCCAGGGGCCAGGAGAATTGCGTTCCTGTAAACATGTCTGACTTGTCACCCCTTGCTCTCTACGGTTCGCTGGGTCTCTCTTGCCCCTTAAGGCAAAGCTCGCACATCCCACGAGGCCACTGACCACCGCCCTGGTCCGATCTCTCCCCGGTGCCTCACTCTGGTGCCTGACCCTAAACTCCTGTCACACAGCTTCTTGCTGCGCCTGAGTTCGCCGGGCCCCTTCATCCTCCGTGCTGTCTGTCACGCCTCCTGTTTCGTCATTCCCTTTTCTGTCTGGTGAGCATCTCCTCCCCCTTAAAGACCCTGCTTAAATACTTCCTCTTCTGTGGAGATACCAGGAAATCCCGCCAGATTTTCTGCCAGAAATATTCAAAACCTAACCGCTTCTCACCACCTCTGCCACTTACGTGGGAGCCACGGCCGCTGCAGCCTCCCACCTTCTCTCGCTCCTACGTCCGGTCTGTTTTAACACAGCATCTGCAGGGCCCTTTTTAAAACATAAATCAGCCCGTTACACTCTCTCGCTCGCTCTTAGGTCGCTCCCCAGCCTGTTCAGAGTAAAATCCTAGGACCTCACATCCACTTCAAGCTCTGGCTTCTGCCCCAAGGCCTTTGCACGTAATGTTCCCTCGGGCCTGAACTCTCCTGCTCCCAGGTATCTGGAGGGTTTCTATCCTCATTTCTTGCATTCCTCTGCTCGGGTATCATCTGATCTGAGGGGCCCTCTCTGACCATCCC